TCAGCACTTTTTTATATTGCAACACCTTTTTTTAGTTGCATAATGACATGCTATTTGTTTTCCACAGAAGCCTTCCCTCTCGCCGTGCTCCAGACAAGGGCTCTTCTGGGCTTGGCTCAAGGGTCTTTTTTGAGCCTGTCTGATAACAGAATATTTACCCAGGTATTTGGTGGGAGGAACAGCAATGACTTGTCCTACCGTCTCATTTTAGCAAATATGGAGGAAATTAAAAGAGATTAGTTTCTTGCATTGGGTGTTGAAAGCACTAACGGCGGATGTTTGGCTTAAGGAGGCGYGAGTGAAGCAAAGGGTGAGCACTGAAGAAAGGAAAGAAGTAGATGGATGAGAGTTTAGAATAGAGTTAGACAATAAATTAAAAGGAAAGGAAGGGACTGGATGGGATTGGATTGTCGAGCCCGGTTTCGCCTGCTTTGGAAGCCGCGGGAACGGTGACGCCCAGGGCCCGTGTGTGGAAGAGCCGCCGTGGGGCTGCGAGGGCCGCTGGAGCCGAGGGCAAGGGCGCCCTCTGCCGCCACCGCCCGTGGCGAGCCCCATCCTCCGTCCCGCGGCGCTGCCACGGTCCCACTGTTAGGGACCGTCCTGAAGGAGGGAGGGCGACCCGAACTGTGCCGCGCCCGGGCAGCCGGGAGCCGAGGGGGCGGGCAGGGCCGAGGCTGTGACAAGATGAGGGCCCGGCCGTGCGCCTCCCTGCCCAAGCCCCGTTTGAACGCGGGCTCGGGCGCCATCTTGTGCCCGCCAGGCGGGAGGTGCGGCCTCACGGCTGCAGAGTCCATCCCTCGGGAAAAGTGCTCCTGCGCCCTTAGGAAAACGGGTGTGTAACTGGAAAAYTGATTCTGGAGCACTGCTGGGCATTACCAGCGATTCATCCTCTTTTTATGTTTACTGTTGCTGATGTGTCATTGACMAACATGCCCAAGGACTCTGGAAATAAAAACAAATTACACAGTAGGGTCAAGCCAGCCTCTCACAGATTAGCTTTTCCATACATTGTATCATAAGCACTGGATTTACAGCATCAATCCTTGCACAGCAGTGTCCCAGRAATAAAGCAYTGGTAGGGATTGTCSAAATCCTCGCATCGGGRTCCTTTACGTTGCAAGCAAGTATAYATATGTAAAACACACAAAAGCAAAAAGCACACAGACAAACACCCCCAAAAGAAACAACCACCATACAAACAACAACAAAACAACAATAACAGCCCCCCCCACACACATTTTCTATAAAACGTAAGTCTTGCCATAGAATCCAGAGATCTGGCATTGTGATGGGGCACATGCCAAGGTGAAGGCCTTCAGGCTGCTTAYAGCCACGGGGCTGAAGAGAGCAATAAATGAAGAGAGTAAGAGCTCTCAGCAGTCATTGCTTATTACTAGCCAAAGTAGAACATGTTGGGAAGATGAAATACRGTTCTCCCTAAAAAAAAGATCAAAACAGTCATCTGTGTTGTGATTGGCACCCAAGCCCAAATCGCAGAGTGAGCACCTAAAGCTGGGTAAGGCTGCAAGCCAGACTCGGGCACCTGTTTTACAAAAAGAGTTTATGGGTTGAAACATGAGACACCTCCTGTTTGCAATCTCACAGATTTCTGTACAGAACAGAGGAACCAATGTTCTTGGCCCATAGCGAAACTCTTGAAGCAAACCTGTTGGATTAAAAGGAGACATTCTGCCTCTCACCAGCCCAGTTTGCAGCTGGGTGTGAGGTTCCTTAAACTTGTCTCCCTCCACTTCCCTGCACAGCCTACCTGGCAGGCTGAGGTCCCACTAGATGGCAGGACAGCTTAAGCCTTTGCTATTTCTGCTTCAGATCAAGTGCTCTGGGACCCCGGTGGGCTCAGCCCCACTGGTCTGTGCTGTCTGGACCTGGGGAAACCCACATAAACCTTCTGGGGTTTATGCTCACTGAGCACACCAGTGGAGTAATTCGTGCAGAAATCTTTGTCCAATTCTGTTTCATGGGCTTTATCACACACAAAGCTCTAGCAGACAGAAGAGAGGAATATTAACTGATGCTATTTTGCTAAATGTTGAAGTATTCTTCTTTATATGCATGATACATAATGGATATTTGCCCTACTAATGGTAAAGTGTTAGTGGTTGTGTATTGAAGTTTAAAACTTTTCTAGCCGCCACTCTCATGTAATTTTTAAGTAGGCCAGTGCAGTTATAATTTCTTAATGACATCTGGAAAATAATTAGGCAAATTTTCTATATATTCAAAATATCCAATTTGTTTTATATATGCACTATAAAATTAGAAGGTACTTTTTTTTTTTTAAACGTGTAGAGTGGGCGAGAATGGATTATGTTCATCTTCATTATGTTCTAATATATGGAGGCAACAAAGTTACCTTTTTTCCTTGGTACTAAAACGAAATTCTTTGCTTTTCAAAAGCCTAGGATAGTGCTGTAAGATGATGAAAAAGATGCTATTACCTGTACCACCCTTGCTGGAATGGAAATTGGGATTAATGAATTGTAATACCAGATTAGCCTTAATAGAAGTTTGCTGCTGTCATTTATCAAGGYAATTAAGTACGTACCTAATTTTAGGCACTTAAGTAGTTCTATGGACTCCTGTGAAACCCGTCTTCATTTAAAGTTAAGAATGCTTCAAATTATCCGATTCAGGTCCATAACGTTATGGCCATGTGAACCAAGAGAATGCACTGTTATCAATTACCCATCAGTTGAGCTAATGGGAGGGTGGTAGAGCCTGGGTAATGGTTGAAACTGGAAACGCTGGCTCAGTGACAAACATATTCAGAAGCACTTCACTTGCTCTTTACAGGCTTAGCCSAAGTTTAGTAGGACTGTTATCTGTCTTCGTGTACTAACAAGAAAATGAACCAGAGCTTCCTCAGCTTTAGTTGAGCTTAAGATAGTAACTGTCCAAGCCCCAGGCTACTGGACAGCACGGCACAGAGCCCCCAGACGGGTCTAAAGGGGCAAGTTCCCGTCTGCCTGAGTCAAGCATGATGCACAACTAATAAACTTGCTCCAAAGACCAGTTTGTATGGTACAATATCTCCCACACCCGCCAGTTTGTGTATCAGTTTGTATTGGTCAGAAATGTGCATCTGATTCACAACTGGAAAAGTTTGACAAAATCCAAGCATAACTAAATATTCCTACTACTGCAACTAACTACAAAAGAGCTCTCTCATGCAGTCCAGAGAAACGGTACTGGCCCGTGGCAAACAAGCATTTTTGTGTTTGTAATTTGGTTAATCTGCAACTAGATTGTACACATATAACATATTACATATCTTTAAAAAAGTTAATATTACTTTTAATTAAATTGCATTTTAAGTCTTAGTCTTTACTACTTCTGCATTTTTTTCAAATTTGCTGTTAAAAATCTTCTACGCAACATATTTTCAATGACAGGTTTGTAGAGCTCAAGTACAAAGTAAAGACCAGAGTGCTAACAGTAAATACCTCAGGGTGCTGAGCATTCTTGACTACTTGTAAGCAATACATTGTGAGCAGGTAACATTATGTATATAAATATAGACTGGGTTTCTCATTTAGAATTTAATACATGAATAAATTGTTAAATTCTGCTTGTTCATAATTGGTGTTTTAATAGCAAAAAAAATCAGACTAGCTTAGACTAGCAAAGCACTGAAAGTATCTATTCCTGTAACCCAAATTTCAGTGTTTGTATTGTATCAGAGAAGAATTTAAATATATCCAGTGCTGCAACTGTGAAAGAAGCTCAGAATTCAATATAGGCCATGACCCAGAAAAGTAAAGCGTATCAGGAATTATGTTTCAGTAATACTCATCTGCTTGATTTTGATGGAATCCTTGCAGCTTCTTCCAATTAACCAATTTTATGTATTGTGATGCTATAAAGGAGGCTGGCATAGGAGAATGAGACTATARCCCAGAACAAGAGTGTGTACCGCAAATACTTCCAACTCCCTCTCCACTGTGGTTTTCAACTTGGGTCCTCCAGCGTCAGCTAGTTTAGCGTCTCAGAATTTCTTAAGCTACCTGTGGAGGAAGTTATTTTACCTTTCCAAATCTGAAAAGAAATTTGGAATGTTGCACTTGTTAAATGAAAACTGGTTTAAGAGGAAGGAACTAATTGTCAGTTCAGTTGACTTAAACTGGATCCTTTATTGAATGGTCCCCAAAATGCAGGKTTTGTGTAAAAGCACAGTAGGAATGGAAGTTGTGCCGAACAAAACCTCTTGAACTGTCTTGAGCTCTTACAAGCTCTCTACCAGGTTTAGATTCCACAAATATTTTMTAGATGGAATACCAGTCAAATGTGGAATGTACCCATCAGAGATGCTTCATCCGTTTTCACAATGTACAGAAGTGGCTGCTGCCCCAGGAATCATGAAGGTTTATGTCTGTACCTGAATCTTAAGTCTTCCACAAGAAGGAAATGAATGCAAGTATTTTCAGGAGCATGATCACCAAAGCAAAACAAGTCCTTTCTGTAGAGAAAAAACTTTGCCTAAAAGTTTTGTAAAAGTCACAGTGATTGAAACATCTTCACTGCCAGCAAGCAACAAAGCAAAACCCAGTTGAAAGAAAAGAACTATGTAGGCTTTAAATATTGTCCTACAGGAGAAACATCAAGAAATCAACTGAAGACAGAAAATATGATAGATATTTAATTTCCACAGTGAGAGAAACAATTTTCGTCATATACAAACATGGATACTTTGCTTTAGATACACATTAACTACAATATTCAGCCTGAAAACTGATGACTGAAATGGTAAGACTGCTAAGAGTAGGAGAACTGAACTGAGATGATCTGCCATAATCAAATAAAGGTAAGGAGAGTCTGAAAACAAACACTGATGTTAAAATAGTTTRCAAAACCTTCTGGTGACAGGAGTAGGAGAAAATTTTATTTGATTTTTTTTTTTCTCATACCCATCCACATATGTCTAATGAGAACAAAAATCTCAGGAAATAAATTACAGATAATGTCTGTAATATAATATATAGTTAATATCACATTGAGGGGAGTGAATACATCTCTCTGTCATAGAGGAAGAAACTTGTTTGGGAAATTAAGAAACCAGATTTTTACTCTGAAACAATGATTAGTTCCTGGTACATCTGCTAGGTATACKAATTGGAACTGTCAAAGATTAATTAGGATGAATACTATAATGAAAGCAAGAGAGAAAACAAAAAAACAAAAGATACATTCTTTAGTTCTCTTCCTGTTTGGATGTGTAGAACATYGCTTTTGAAGCATGACAGTAGAAAAAACTGTATGCCATCCACATAATCATCTAGGTACAAGTGCATTGCAAATTCATGTCTGTGCTGCTAAAGTTGCTACCACACTTCAGAAGGGGTGACACAGAAAATCAGGGAAGTCTTTTGATGGGATTCATTAACCCAGAAGTCCTTAGGTCTTAGGAATCATTGTGTTTTCCTTCTGCCTCTTGACTTTCCAGCAAAGCTTTGGATGATGRCACTTCTCCACCCTCTGCTCCTGCATCTAAACAGAGACAGAAATAAACATTTATACCACATACATTATCACAGCTTTTTTTAATGCAGCCAAATATTTGGGTTCATTCACTGATCATCTCTGTTTGGATTGGCTCTTTATTACCACAGTCATGGGTGCTTTGGAAAGAGAGATAAACCCAAGAGATAAAGAACTTTCAGAGACATCTTCTAAAAGCTGCTGCCTATTGTTGATTTGCCCACTTCTTGCACAAGCTCATCAATGTGCATTTGGCTGCAAAAAGTTGACTGGAAATAACTTTTTATTACTGTTATTTTTATTTTTTTTTTCTGGGTTATTTCCAAAATCAGATTAGAATACTGCATTCATTTTAAGCACTGTGTGGTTTCAGGTAGATAACATTACRATGTATGAACATGCCAGTTATCTGTCTGACCTTCTTTACCAAAAAAATACCTACATAAATTTACCCTGTCCTCATAAGATGGGGGATGTTTTGTTACTCTGAGTTGGGAGTTCACTTTTCCTCAGATTAGAGCTGAATGTTTGCATGACTGATATAAATAAAAGCTCCCCAGTGGGCCTGGTCATTATAGGAATTGTTCCATGCTGTTTCTTTTGATCARCTTTACTCACTGAGAAGCAGAAAATTCTCTTGCCTTGATTTCCTTGCAAAGCATAATAATAATTTTCACATTAACTTAAAGTCCCACATGGTAGTACCAGTGGTAACAGAACACTCAAATCTATAGCAGTCCATAGCTTTTGGGGACAAGGAGAGATCTACTCAGCACATCTGGCTATACTGTCCTCCATGTCATACTCCTCCATCTCCTCCATAGTCCTAGTCTAAGGGGCACATTTTCAGACTTGCTATAAAATATCAAAAACACCCAAAAGAGTTATATATCTTGATCTCTACATATCACAGCAAATATATAAYGCTGTACATAATTAATCAGCTAAAGCTCTTGCCAGAAACTGCTTGATGTTTTAAGTCTGCTCAGAGGTTCAGGGGCTTTGGGACTTCTATGCTGAGAAATAAAGAACTGAGTTATTTGAYACCCTCCAGACTTATGTAGCACAGCACTGATGTGTAAAGGGAGACAGAGCAATCTCTTTTTTTTTGTGTGGGGTTGGATTTCTAAGGTCAGTGGACTCTGTCAGACAGGGTAGACAAAAATAGGTTATTAGAGGAAATCTAGTCTCATATTTGGTGGCACTGAGGTGTGCAATAGGTGCTAGTTAAGATGCCAAGTCTTATCARCAGAATGGTGCCCTAATGCAGGTTACCAGATGTGGGAGACCAATATAGCTTCTTGCTCTCAAACTTGCAACCTCCTCTTCAAACTTTGGATCACCAGTGACACCAACCAACTATTTAACATGATTCCAGTATGACCTCTCAGCAGACCACCCATGGAAAGTCTCCAAAACTTACACGCCACCAGAGGATGATCAGACAGGATGCAGATGGTCTGCATTTCAGAGTTAGGCTCCAAGATAAACAGCTGGTGCCAGAATCTCTCCTGCTCATCTCATSAGAGCATCAGTTTTGTGTGGCTTGCAGAGAACATGGACATTTGTATCACACAGCTAGGGTGTTTGTATATTCATAGAAGAAATAAAGCCAAGTCTCTTTTCTCTTTTAAACCMAAAGGTATTAGCACATCCTGTGGCTGACTTTTCACTATGACAGTAGCTGACAGCATTTTAGAAAGAGGAAATGTATGATCTAATGAGCTAAATTTGRAACAAGATGGAGAGAGTTCTTCTCACCATTTCCCATAATCTTCAYTGAATCTGAATTTCAGAGTAGCAACAAAATAGGACATACTTTATATAGCCACATGTTCCATCTTTTCCACTTCTCACATTTATCTAATTTCTTTGTTCTGAGCTGGAAATTACTTTCCTTTTTTAACAACTTATTGTTAAAGTCAGAAATAGGCAAAAGAGATGCCTGTTAGAGCCCCAAATGTTTCACAAACAGTTTCCCTTCACAGCATTTGAACTTCAAAATTGTCTTTCCATTTTGATGAATTGTCCTGTTTGTTTGCTGTCTCATCAAAAGTTTAACTTACAACACAATGAGGCTGAAATTCCTATCTGATACTGTAGAATTCCCATCCCCATAATGYCCCATACAAGCTGTCAGAGTAGACCCAACTGCATCCTGCATTCACTTCCTATTATCAGTACTGTAAGCTGCTGATAACAGAATCTGCTCCCTTCCAACATGCTCTGGCACAGCTATATGTCAATGACAAAAGCAAGGGACAATTCCATGTTCTTAATTGGCCTTCAAATCCTGGCAGTGCAGGTCCTGTATTTCTAAGAAAACATCAGTACATTTTGCTAAACTAACCTGGTGTGCCTGTATTTAATTTCTTCTTAATGAATTGGATGGAGACCAGGAGAAGAGGATTATTCTGTCTGGAGGACTAAGTACTTTTTTTATGCTATGCTGTAACATTTCTTATAAAGACTTGCATTCTTTCCTGTTTGTTTTTATTTGGGGGGGTGGGGAGAAAGACCAAAAAGAGATTTCTTTGGGGGGGGCTTTAAAAAGTGCACTCTTTCCAACTACTAAATTTGCCAGAGGTCAAAGTAAAAGAAACATGGGAAACTTATTTACAGCTTTTGTATTCTTTGTTGCTGTGTTTAACGTGGTGCACATGCTTCAGGGGTCACTGCTCTAAACAATACAAAAGTTTAGTTACTCATAATGTATTAATGGATTTTTCAGTGGGTTGGACTGGTCACTTTATTTCCACAGCTCCTGTGGACACTGATACAATATTAATTCCCATCTGCCTYCCCTTTGATAAGGAAAACAGTTCTCTCCTGCTGGAGCCTGACCATGCTGTGTGGAAGAACTATGTGGTGCATAAACAAAGCACAAAATTTGAAAACGAAACCATTATATGTTAATTGATTGTACTTTGGAATGAATTTCCAGTGCTTCAGCAGCACACACTGGAAGGGAAAAATATGTAGGGATATAATTTTCATATTCATAGGGAAAAATCTCTCCTCAAAACAAAGTAATGCCTTCTTCCAGCACCCACTCAGATTCTTATTTTCCTCTCTTCTGGTTCAAGTCAGGATATGGTCATTCCATCCCTTCTCACTCGTCCAGAAAATGTTCTTTCTACCTGCTCAGCAGTCATTTAATGGGCCCATGTGGGGTTTAGATTACAGAACAAATACATGATTAGAAACTAAATCACAAAAATAACAACAATTTGTGATCAAATA